GTGAACACAAATTAGTTAGCATAAATCAGTTAAATGACAAAAAATTAGGTGTCTATTTACTTGTGACCACTCAGTGTACAGAATAATGAATAAAATAATAATACCAGAAGAAAACAAAAATGTGTGATATATTCATACATCAAACTACCATAGGTTATCTAGGAATTTGCAATACTGACTTGTTCGTGGAGTCATAGTCTTTTGAGTTGCCTGACAATTATATATACTGTACTCATGAGAGGAATGTATTGAACCATTCATTAGACCTAAACACTGGAGCCCAATGCATTGGAAATGCACATTACTGTACAAAGTAACATCATAAGTGATGCATCTTACAGGAGTCTGCTTCATGAACCTTTGATGTTGAGTGCCCACTATAGTTACACAGATTAGAGTAAGCCAAGGTTTAATTCCAGAGATGGATCCTCTGAGATGACTATCACATCAAGAAGACACTTGAAAAACCCAAGCATCTGGATCAATTGCTGAACATTGGAAACAGTCTTCAACTCATTATAATCTGTATTTTAGTTATTATCTGAAATGTATATGTTGCACTGTGTATCATATTTAATTATGAACCCTTTGGATGCCATAATCGGATTTATCCAACTTGAAATTAATAGTTGTGTGGTGAGACAAACAGGTTTACCCCATAGTGTCACAAAAACATTTTCTCATTGTGTGATAATTGGGATATTCACATGTCCTTGAATTTCCTGCCTTATTACCACTCATGTGTACATCCCTAGTGGATTTTGATATGGAAAAAGTGCTTAAAAAGGTCAAATTCTAAATTTCATTTTTTCAGTAGATAGCTGACACTTTTCAAGAACCCACCTGAAATTTAGTTACACATTCAAAGGGTTAATGTGCTTTCTGTTCAAGTTTATTTAGTATATTGAATTCTGACTTTTGTTTGAATTCTATTTTGTATCTTTTTTATGTCAATTTTATATTGTATTGTGACTGGCTGGTGTAATGATGTTATTTTATCGTTTAATTTAGATTTTCTTACTTTCAATTTTGTGTTACAATATTGTTTAAAGTTGCCTTTGTGATTGGCTTCACATTTACTTTGAGTTGTATTTTACTTTAGTTATTTTTATTTTTCTATAAATGTTGTGACATCCTCCATGTGAACTGAGAAGAAAAATTATAAAATTTTACAGCCTGCAATTAATTTGATAAATTGTCCATAACTATTAATTTCATAATTTCAGGCAAGGATTTGCTTGGGCCAGTGCAAACAGGAATTCAGATTTAACTACAAAAAATATTGAATACAAGTCTAAAGAGGTTAATTTCCTTGTACAGGTCACTGGTTAGGTCACATTTAGAGTATTTGTATTCAATTTTGGATTCCTTATCTTAAGGAGAACATTGAATTATTGGAAAGTGTTCAGAGGAGGGCTACTAAGAGGATACCTGGGATTGAAAGTTGTTATACATGAAGAGGTTAAGATCTCTGAAATTGTTTTCTTTTGAAAAAAGAAGAGGTAGAGGGGATCTCATTGAGATGTTGAAAAATGTTAAGAGAATTTATAGTGTTCAAACATCATCTTTATGGCACTTAATGGTGAGAATGGCAGAATGAGAGGACACAAATAGAGATTTTGGCAGAGCAGGAATCATCTTCAGCTAAGATTGTTTTTTTTTGTTGCTCCCCATGATGTCTGTACCAGGCTGGAGCAGTCATCCTCAAGTGGATTGTAGTTTTTCCAGTCTATGTTACTTATTACTTATGATTTGACAGTTGCTTCTTTTATTCTCTACTTTGAAAATATTCAGTCTCTGCTGTGATGATTCATCCATAAATACAGTAAAGAAGGCCCAGTGCTTGTGATTATTATGAAATAAGCAAAAAGGGCAAAGCCCATACTTGTCTAATTCTTGTTTATGCATGGTTAGAAAATGTGTTTACTGACAAACCTTTTACTAGTGTATATGCTCACTCTCTTCACATTTTAAGATAAATTGTCTTGAATCATATTATTTCATTTGAAATTTTACATTTATGAAATCTTGCACTGGCCAAACTTAAGTTATTACTGAGAGAGGTTTATAAAACTTCTTGATCAATCCAAATTTAAGTTATTACGTAGAGAGATTTATAAAACTTCTTGATCAATATGCATCTTCGTAGTACAAGTATGCCTGACTCGAATTATTCTGAAGTTCAATACTGTATGACAATTAAAGGTAATTAAATTTTGATTTGTGAGTTACCACATAAAATCCACTTACACTCCATGGAGCTTTCACCAAAGTAAGAGTTCCATTCTGCATTTCACAGTAATAGATAAAAAAACAAATTATTACAAACAGT